TTGGTGGGTAGAGACTACCCAAAAATAGTACTCAAGTAAGAGTAGCACTACTATAAGAGCTTTTTACTCAAGTAAAAGTTGAAAAAGTATTCAGTAAATAGGCTACTCGAGTACTGAGTAATTGTTGGATACTGATATCAGATTTAATGTTTATAAATGATGCTGGCAAACAGACTTTATGGACAAGTTCTGGTATTTTAATGACTCAAAGTATAAAAGAACAAATTTGTGCAGAAATACTTTGACCAGTTTTGTTTTCCAACATAAAAATTAGAAAACAAATCCGTAAAATGAGAGCTGTATATATATATTAGGATAAGGTCACAAACGTCCACTGTTAATATCTACCGTTTACTCTGAATTTGAAATAGTTCAAATTACTCAGAGGACAGAGTAGTCAGAGATTTGACTCAAGTAGGAGTATACTTTACAGGAATATTACGTAAAAGTAAAAAGTACGCAACAGTAGACCTATTCCTAGACATTTTTTTTCAAATTGTTAAGTAAATGTAAGTAATTACCTAACTTTAACCAACAAACTTCAAATTCAGTTAAAATTAAACCAGTTTAACACCGAAAATACACACTGTAATTCACTACAATACATTTGAAAACATAAGTTTTAACTACATTGTATTTTCATCAACAATAGTGTCTAAATAAAGTGGTGATAAAAAAAAACTGTTATTTTCATGATTTAAGAAAATAAAATCCAAAATAAAAAGGTTGGCATCAAAACATTCAAAAATCCTTACTTTACCTTTCAGGGCTCTAAAGATGGCCAGGCTTCTTCATATAAAGTATTTTGTTTTCTACATGACAACTTCTCCAGTTTATTTCACCAAGTATAGTTCTTTGATAAAAAATATTTTATTTTAAAAAATAAAGTAAACTTAAAACAGGCTTAATTTGCCTCCAATTTAAGCCTGTAAATCAGTTAGGCTCTTTGGGGGGAAAAAGCAGAGTGAGACATCTTGCATATTTTCTTCTCTGTGTTCAATGCCGCTCAGAAATGTTTTTAGGGGCTTTTATTTTGAAATCAAATAAATGCTAAATGTCATTGCAGAACATGGCCTGTTGCAATGATTGTCCGTCAGCTGTGAATAATTGTGATTTTGGGTTTAATGTCTGCAGCTGATGTTGCAACAGTTTAGTCAGACATACGGAAAAGTGATGACAGGAACCCGAAGGAGGAACTTTAAAAGGTCACGATGGAAAAACAACAGAAAAATGTTCACTTAAATCCTAAAAACAATGAATTAAAGAGAAGAATGTGTTTGTGATGCTCACTTTATTCAGCCTGCAGTGCAAATAATGCTGCACATTTCCAACCGTGAGTCATGTGATAAAGCAGCTTTTTATTAATACCAGAGCTTCTTTCTTCAAACAGTGAACACTCCTTCAACAGTAAACTGTGAGGTTAGCTCTTCTCTCTCTGTCACACTAAACTAATTCTGACATGCTGCTATAAACTGATCTGCATGCACACATTCACACTATGAAAAATAAACCGTATAAAAGGACGATACAGAGTAAAAACTGTACACAGACCATGTGCCAGTCGGACTGAGTGGAGATGAAGTTCAGACATGAAAAGATCACAGAGCTGCTAATGAAAAAGGCACAATTCACCCCCAACCCTTTAAATTCAGCCACTCAGTGAATAAAATAATCTTTAAAATATGCATCATACATTCAGTGCATCTGACAGGTTGTTCACACTGCAAAACCTCAGATGCTTTGGCTCCTTAACCTAAAATAAATATGGTCTTATTCCTGTACACTGATGTTAAGGAGAAGTTTCAGCCTGTTAATGTGAGAAATGCTGGTTCAGGTTGATTTTGGTGACACCTGTGGTGGCTGAAGGTACTGCAAATATATATTTTAACAGTAAATCGACGATCGCACTACCTAAAAATAAGTAAAGACACAGTGAAAGCAATTCTGCTTCTCCATGTTTCATCAGCTCTTAAAAAAAAACGTTTATAAACAATAAATCTGACTTGAATGACAGTTTTACAGCTCTGTGTTGCTGTAGTTGCTTCAGTGGCCACTAGATGCTGCTATAGAGCTTCGTATGAGGATAGATCAGTGAAAGTTTATATAGTAAAAACCTTTTCTCTGGTAATTTTGTAACATTTAAGTCCAATCATCAGAATATTAAGCAAAATTACAGCTGAACTAAAGACAGAAGAAGTTACCAGAATGTTTAAAGCGTTCTCTCTGGTTATCTTATTCATGCATCATATTAGAAGACAAACATTTGTTGTTCCAAACTTGTACAACAAGGAATAATTTTCCAACTGACTCAAAATGTTGTTAAAAACTTATTCGTTCCTGGTTTTCACAATCGAAAGGTCTATAAAGTTTAAACTTCAACTTCCTCCTTTAAATTTTCACTGAAAAGCAATTTAGCCGCGATGGGGCGGGTTTAGCAAACTAAGCAGCTAGTTTGCTAAACCCAGAGGGATTGCTGCGTGTGAACTGAACAGACTTGAGAGGCCTGGGGAATGATGGCCTAGTGGTTAGGGCAGCGGTCGGCAACTCAAATTGCTCAAAGAGAAAAATTAAAAGTCTTCTATCAGCCTCATATGGCAACACAGGCTCTAAGTGTATTAGCTAACTATAGTAAAGGAGTATGTGCATTGATGAAATTCTAGAAACGCGATAAAGGAATCTTTCTATGGTGGACGTGTGTCTGTTGGGAGGAGCTGATTGAGTCACGAGGAACCAAGCAGGAACTGAAATCCCACATCCTCCGTCACCAGCGCTCATTGGTGTAATTTATATTTTGAGGATTTGGTGAAAAAAAAACCTGTTGAATCTATGAACGTTTTTCTATCCTAGCAACCAAACTAGCAGCAGCATTGGAGATGCAATCCATTATCCATCCATCTATCTTTGCGCTCCTCTAATTTATCCAGAAGTTCTTCAACCCTTTGGGATTAATGGTCTGAGACGCACCTGCAGCTTTGTTAGCCTGGCGCCGCGCCGCTAACGCTAGCTGCTAGTTATGACCACTGATCTCTATGGCTTTGATGCAAATTATTGTTTAAATATAATACATTTTTGAACACCATTTTAAAACAAACAAACAAAAAATTGAATTTCATAAATTTTTGTAAAAGCTCCAGGGAGCCTTAAGGGGGGCTAAAGAGCCGTGGGTTGCCGACCCCCGGGTTAGGGCATTGAGCTTGGATCCCAGTGGTTCCGAGTTTGAGTCCCACTCCCACAGACTGCCACTCTGGTTCCCTGAACAAAGACCCTTAACCCCACACTGCTCCCCGGGCGCCACACAATGGCAGTCCACTGCTCCCCAAGGGGACTGGTTAAATGTAGAGAGGGAATTTCTCCAGTGTGAGATCAATAAAGTTAAATAATTCTTATTTTATATATATATATATATATATATATATATATATATATATATATATATATATATATACACATTACAAGGCAAAAAAATGGAAATCTCACTAAGTCATTTTTTTTTAAGTTTTTTGTGGTATTAGTGACTCATTATTGTTCAGTAGTCTGACAAGAAAGGTAGTTACAAGAGGGGGGGGTGCAGTAAGGGACCAGAGTCTGGATTCGAACCCGCGTCGCCCACATCGAGAGCTAAGGCCTCTGTACATGGCACATTCGCACAACAAAGAAAACCCCA